TTTTTTTTTTTGAAGAACACAGACTCGAAATCGGAAATGTTCGTGCCTTTACCTATCCGGTAAGGTATGTACATATTCTTCCGGAAAGAACACTACCGTTTTAGACAAAAGCCTTCCGGTCAAAGGAAACTGGGGAAAATTTACGATCAATTCGAATATGTTTGCTTGTTTTGACAATACAAAATAATTTCGTATATGTACTATGTATGTGCTTCGATATCGGTTACAATTTTTATATAAATTTAACAATATATTAAATTCATTTCATAAGGGGGAAAAATAGCTTGTGCCACTAAGCGATCGCCATTTAATTTTTAATTTAATTGACCATACTATTGTTTTATTGATATTTTCACAGATTCCGTATTTAATTTCCGCTCACCAGCATTTTTGTGAAAGGGCAAGTAGGACCAATTTATCTTTAAGAAACGAATTTCAAATAATTTATTTTAAACCAAAAGTTTTAAAAATGTGTGAATCAACGGCACATGCAACCCTGTGGTAGATTTTTGTATAATGTCTTTGACACCACCGACAAAAGCAATGCCTTGATATATATTCAGAACATTGCTCTAGAAATGGTTCAATATTTTAATGCTTTGCAACAAATTTCGTAAGTGATTTATATGAAAAAAAGTAAGTTTGTTTACAGGCAAACATACATTCATAAATACATATGTACGGACTCTACAAAAAACGATTTCGTGAAACTTCTTCGGCTCACCTGAGCAATGGTCATGTTACACGACGTGGACAACACAAATATTTTGCATGTTCTTGGGCCGCTTTGCGGTTTTTGATAAATTTGACTGAATCAGCTGTACAAATATAGCTGATATCACCCTCACTGTTGTTGTAATAAATCTTCAACAACCAAAATTTGGAGGTTATGTTGAGGTTGTCAGGAGTTATGACACTTTTCTTCTTCTTCATTGACGCCTTCAAAGCGCTGCAAGACGCGTTTGAACGCGTCAAAAGAGAGGAACATTTAATGCTCGAAAAATTCGCAGCGATGGAATTGTGCAAGTGTGCGCTAGCTCGTTAAAATGTATGGGTAGCATTGTTGTAATTTTTTAAGCTGAAATTAGTCAAGAACGCAGAACGTATACTTAAACGCAGTCTTTATACGCAGAATTTTGTCGATTATTGGAGCCCTCAGTGTTGCTTACTGCAGTGCTGCCACTCAGCAATGCCTTTTCATAAACTTACCTTCTCAACTACAATTTTTCGTGCTATAATACATCGTAGCTAAATATAAACTACTTAGTTTTCATCAAAAAACCTTATTAAATAGTAAATTTCAATTATTTTGAACGTGTTTTGAATAGGAACTTATAACTTATTTACCACCTGCGAAACTGACGAAGTGGCAACCATCTATAGATGGAAGAAATCAGCTGACACGGTAAAATCTAAATTCCGCAGATTTCTGCGCTACGGGCTACAACTACAGAAAAATTCTGTGGTGTTGAGTTTTCATTTACATGGCGCTCTGGTAAGACAGATCGTGTCAGCTGACTCGGGTTTACGTACCGGTGGGTTTACGTTCTTGACTAATTTCAGCTTTAACTTTGCAATTTCGCAACGTTCGCTAAAGTGCGCTTCGCTTAAGAAATCAAAAATCTTTGTAAACGAGCCAATATGAATGTCGAGCGGTTGTATAAGCGTTCACACGATCGAAGGTCGATAGTCATCACTCCATGTTAAATCGTGTAAAACCCGCTTATGATTATGCTTGTGGTGCGGTAAGTCCTCTTTCAGACACGTCAAGTCTTGCTTCAAAAGGGGACTAATGATAGTCATGCATTTTGTTATAACTTCAGTTTTTACATTTGTATTATTCTAAAAATTTCGCCAGAGATATAAATATTTATGGCCTTACGCTGCGTTTACATAAGACAATTTTATTCACGACAATTGAGAATATGTATTATTTGTCAAATTGTTGTTTAAAGCAGGCGTCCAGACATTTATAAAGACATTCGATATAAAATATCTAAACACAAACCACATTTTCATAATTCTGTAATTTTTTGAGATTTTGTCTTGCTTCTTTTTCTCAAATTAACCAAGACGTGACCAAATTGTCCAATTTTCTGTCGAAGACAATGAGAGCTGTGTGATGTGTATTAGTAAAAAGTGTGCAATTATTGCTACTGTCCTCGCAAAATTGTTCTATGTAAACCCCAAGTTATTCATAAAAAGTAAAATAGATTTATACAGCTCTTGAACCAATTAGAACAGATCTGACTGTTTGAGATACAGCCATTTGTTGTTGTTTTTCTTTTGCTTCATCTTGTCAGATATTGTGTAGTTGGAACATGATACAGCTCTATATAGTGACATTTTCATAAAAATTTTCGATTTATAAAGCATTTAAATTCTTGTTTATTTTTTATGAATTTGGGTGTTAGTTTTTAATTTATATGTAGTCCCAAAACATGCTCAGCTCAGTTCAATGATTTATCCATTTTCGTATGATTGGAGTTTAAAAAATCGTTTGGAGCAAATCAAGCATATTGAACAGTTTCTACGTTATACACAAAATTTTAGAACTATGTTCCTCGGCAAGTCGACTCCACTGTACGTATTCGTTTATTTAATTATTGTGAATGTGTCATTCAAGTAGAAGTAGCAGAAAAACAGATTGCGTGAGGTTGTTATTCTATTTGTTATTATTTTCACCATACAATTTACTCTTTATAAAATATTACAACTTTACATATTTGTTAAGAAGTTTAAGTTTAAGCATTGATATTAAGCAGACATTAAGGTTTACTTATAATATTTATATATTTACAAGCATTACAAAAGCAAAGCTTGCGTGGATGAATGACGCAGCTCATTCGTATGCTTTTACTTAGTACACAATGCAAAATAACAACTGCTGTTGTTTCTTATACTATATATAAATTATTAGACACACACTATAGTAACATGATTGCATTAATACATATGATAATAATGATATCAAGAATCTAAGCAACTTCCATATGTGCATACCTACATATACATATATGTATATACACTCAGCAGAATATGTTTCCGTACAGTATTCTTTTTTTTAATTTTTGAAATGTTTTTCGTAATAAATTTTTAATAAAATTAATACGGTTTCAAAGTTTTTACTAAATTTAGGAAAAATCGACAAATTTTCACCAAAATTTTCTACATTGGAATAAAATTTTTAAAAATTGGTTTATAGTATGTAGTTCACTCAATTTCAGTATAATAAAGTGCAAGTTTTAAGTGGCTATAAGCTACCGCTGCATTTTAAAAATTTTGTTATTGCTTTTTTGTATGGGAAAAAATGCTGGAAAGCGCCAGTAAAAAAATTCTCAAAAATCACCGGTAGCCACTTAAAACTTGCACTTTATTATATTGAAATTGAGTGAACTACAAAACTCCGTACTTAAAAAAATTCTAAAAAATTTGATTCTAAAAGTATAAAATTTTGGTGAAAATTTGGACTTTAGTATACTGAAATTGAGTGAACGACAAAACTGCATAGGGACTCAAAAAAATTCTAAGAAATTTTGTTTGCAAAATTGAAAATTTGTCGAATTTTCCTAAATTTTGTAAATACTTTGAATCATTAATTTATATGCCTTTTGATGCAGAATGAACTATATATCTATCAAAAATTAACGAAAAAAATGAATTACGAAAAACATTGCAAATATTTAAAAAAACACTGTACGGAAACATATTCTGGTGGGTGTATTTACATATGTACGTATGTTTTTCTTACCAAAGCACGAATGGATGCTTTCGCTCTGTTGTGTGAACCTTAGATGTACGTTAATTTTAAGGGGAAGGAACAGTTTAAACAAATATGTCAGGAATGATAATACTCGTATTTTTTCTTAAAGAACTCAAAAACGACTTCAGAAAATTTGAGATTAATACACATAAAAATCGGCTAAATTCGTTGCTTCGAAATTCGCAGACATGTCGTCTGGAGGCGTAGGGACCTCGGCAACTGGCACAACAGCCAACGATTTTTTTGGCTGGGATTTACTATACAAGACAATTGAGAAAAATGTCGATAAAAAGTCGGATGTGTTGATAGCATTAGCGCACTTCTTGCTTGTTAAACAATATAAGATGCAATGTCTTGGCGTTGGCGAGGATGTGAGTATTTCATCATGTATTCTATTAACATATACATGATATCTTAATTCTCTTTTTATTTTATTGAAAGAAAACTATATCCGATGAAGATGTGGGCTCTGAACTATTGCCCGACGCCTGGAATGATAGAGGCAGAAGATGTGCCCTGCGTTATTTGCATAATGGCCGATTGTATCTTTTAATAGGACATATTACAGATGATTTCATTACAATGAATTTGCTTGATGTTAAGGATACAAAGGTGACCAACATAACATTAAATCCACAGGAATGGGTTAAACAGCTTAAGGGACCACTAAGCACATTGATGCCTGATGCGTCGCTGATATCAGATCGTTATCGCAAAGAGTTGATTGATCCGGTAATTAAAGCTTTTAGTATAGGTCGATTATGGGTAGCATTCAAATGTCAGCTGAATTGAAAGTTCAATGTGGGTGAAACGATATTTAAGATGGTGGTTAACGGCTGAAAGCTTGTTACTGCGTTTGCCACCTATACAACCAATGAAAGGGTATATTCGTTTTACTGTTGTTTGTGTAGTTTGGATGCGCTCAATTTCTAGTAGCTATGCACATTGTTTACAAAAGTTGTATTATCAGTTACTTAACAGTGCCTTCCAGTGAGAGTTGTTTACTTAATATAAATTTCTATATCAGTTTGCTTGGCTACTTATAATCGACCCATGAAATTTTCTTTTGTGTTATTTGTCATTTTCGAATATGCCGTATTCCTATAGGTGTTTACGGGTAATACGAGAGAGGTAACTACGCAAACAAATGTCAACCAAAATTCACGTTCCCCAAACTTCCGAGATCCATTAGCGATTGGCGGACCCATGAGACCAATGGGGTAAGCAATAAGTGTGTTAAATTGCATTAAGTTCAATCGCTTCCATACTCTCACATGGGTAATGTTGTTGAGTGTTATTTATAGCTTTAAGATATTAATACATATATTTATATTCGGCATACTTATAGGCATGTCACAAGTAATCTTTGTATCATGCTTATATGTATGTATACATACGCAGTAGGAAAAAGAAGCAACTACTAGCAACTTACGCTTCACCCAGAAGTTCTTATTACTTCCCTGCGAATTTCGTTTCCTTAACAAAGCTATGCCTTATTGGTTTAGGAATTTAGAATGTACATTTGGTATCAGATATACTTCTAAGCCGCTTTACCTAAATAAAGGCGGACTCAAACAGATGCGATACAAAAATTTACGATATGCTATCAATACAAACCACTGCAGCATATGGGAGTGCTCATACAGATGCGGGTGCGATACGATATGTTAAAAATTGTATCGCAGCAAGCACATTAGTCCTGACAATTTTGGTAATCAAAGATTTAAAAAAAATGGATTATCTCGTAAGGAGCTTACAATTTTTCCTACTGGGTATGTATGTATGAATACATATATGTATATACATACATATGCATGCCGCAGCGAACTGCAAGCTTGGTCTCTTCTCGAAAACAAGCTTTTAACTTTAAGTATTCAAGCGAAAAAAGTCTAAATTAAGTGGTTAACCCTGGAATACGAGTATGAAAATGCTGATAGTAAAGAATGACTAATGTTTTCTTGACATTCTAGGGTTAATTACAAACTCTCTCTCTACTCTGCTTTTGTATGTTCTTGCAAATAGAGAAACAGTTTGGATAAGTCCTCGTCATTGTCAGTCACAATAGCGCTCGTAACATGCATTTTAACTTCAAAACTCAAATCTTAATTTTGGTTTTTTGCTTGCTAGCTTTCGTGAAGTACGAATAAATCTTTTACTTTTGTCTGAAAGCATATTTCTAATTTACTTATTGTCATTTTTGTTGCAGTTCTTTTCCAATGGAGCCGCGTCCTTTTGGATTTCCAGATGTCGGACGCGGCGACTTAGATCCCTTGGGTCGTGGCGGTCCTGGTAACCTTTTCCCCATGCCTTCACGTCCCGATATTAATACCGGTTTAAATCCGCGTTTCGATCCCGTTGGACCAGATGGACGTATTGTGCGAGCGGATCCGAATCCAGATCATCTACCACCACCAAATTTTGGTTTTGATTATTATATGTAAATAGTAGGGTACGCAAAACATAAATACCTACATACATATAATTCAATTTTATAATCATAATGACTACGTTTTGGATTGTTGGTTACTCGATCGTTGGTTAACCATTGAAAAGCAAAATATAAAATAAAGACTTATTTTATCTTAAGTATTGGCAAAGGAAACAGAAAATGTGCCTTTTTAACGCTTCTTACTCATGGACTCACTGATAAAATGAATTATTTTAACTTTATCAGTTTTTGGTTGTTGCTTACGTGAATGAGTCTTAACCATCGATTAAATAACCAAACATCAATGTAGGCAAAAACAAAAGTTTGTAATGGAAGTTTTTATAATGGTTTACTACATAGTATGTAATATCCGCAGGGCAGCGAATTTGGTTAAGTCATTGAAATTTTGAAATTGCATTTGAGGTAAATCATTAAAATTATACATACATATTTATTATTCAATAAAAACTCATAACTTGGTTTGAAACACAGTTTTAAAGTAAAATTATCTGAGTTTACTTCATTAATACTTTATGACATCACAAACGAATTAAGTTTTGTGGCTATAATAATGGTAGGTTACTCGTATCAAAGTAAATCGGGGAATGCCAGTGACAACCATTATCTCAAAAAGTGCAAAAAACACCCAAAGTGCTCTTATAATAACAACGATTAGTATTTTGTTACCATAATTAACAAAGGCCCTAATCAAGACTTTGGTAGGATATATTGAAATATACCGTCACTAAAAATTTTAAAGTGCTAGTACCAAAAACAACAGAGTTACATGTCACTTTTTAAAAAGCCCTGCCTGTTTTTGATATTCTTTTTACAATGTTTCTTGCTTCTGTAAAATAAAAAAAAATGTTGGTTTGAGCCTTTGTGAATTAAGGTAACGATTTACATATTTGTATGGGTAGTATGCAGTACTAGGTTCCAGCATAAAAAGAGCAATAAAGTTACATTGCTGTCCCCAGGTCGAAAAACCAGAAACTAGCCAATGTAGTTACACATGCCCTATAACAATTTTAACCGTTATTTTACATAGAAAAATGTAAAGAAACAAATTCATAAAGAAAATACTTTAAATGCTTTGTAAATCGAAAATTTGTACGAAAATGTCACTTGGTAAAACTTTTTAAACCCACTTATTATAAATGTATTACGATGCTCCACTAAATATGAATAACTTTTACTAAACGTTTCAAAAGAAAATAATGCACTTATGTATATGAAACGACCCTGTAGCAGTGCAATCATGATTTCTTTCTTGAATTTCCAGATATGTGAGGCGCTTTAATCGCCTAAGTGATTTATTTCGCTTTTTTTGTGCCAACTAACGCCAATTTGATATTCAAAGTAAAGCCGCCTCGAATCTTCGCATTTGCTTCTAGGCGCTGCATCTTATTCGCAGTATCATGTCAATGTCATTGTAAAACTCATGGAGCTCATCGTTCCATTGTCTCTAGCAAACTTCGTCACAAATCATTATTTTTATAGAATCTTTCCAAAGTAGCAGGTAGAAATTGTTATTGTTGTTAATGCTGTCTCTCAAGTATATGAAGTCCTCAACAACTTCAAAATCATAACTGTCTACAGATAGAGATATGTACATATGTACACACATAGATGACTGTTGAGGTCTATTCTAAGAAGACTAGTGCCGTAGTAGTTGGCGCATATGCCATGTTAGTCCCTCTTGTGGGTTGGGCAAAGAACACATAAATACCAGCTTCTTGGCACCAAACTTGAATAGCACGGCTGGCAGACCATCGGTTCTGGCAGTTATATCATTTTAAAACCGCGCTATTGATAATCGAGTTTAGTCTTGGTTGGGGAACTGAACATCGATCGCTGGTACCATTCAGCAGGTTGGATAAATTCTCTTCTTGTTCTTCTTTGGAATAATACGCCTCTGTTCCCCTCCCAACTCCTGGTTGCCAATCGCAACGTATCCCTATGGGTGCAGTGGGGTATCGAAGTCTGCTTAACCGGGACGATCCAGATTGACGTCAGGCCCAGGTTGTTACAACAACAAAGAACCAGATGATCTATATATTGTATCTTATATAAGAACTGTTCTTTATTAGAAATAATTATTTTTTTTTAACCTAACGGAAATTTTAATTTTTAACTTATTCTAACTTAGAGATTTTTCGTCTCGTGCACGTTTTATTAACGATATTTCTGTGAATTTTTTAATAAAATTATCGATATCGATATATTAATCGGTAGAACTATCAACATATTTTTCGATCTTATTTTATGTTCATTATCGGAATATTAATCGTACAAATAATCGATGTCGCTGTCGATGTTTTTATCGATAAATTTAAAAAATATCGATAAATAGTATTTAAGTTTATCGATTGTGTTGAAAGCAAAAATACCGTTTCAAACTTAATACTTCGAGTAAAAAACCGGTTAATTTTTGCTTTTTAATTTTTTAACGCAAAATCGCGAAGAAGCGCTTAGTAAAAAAAAAACTTTAAAATCCCTAAAAACGCATGAAGCCCAATGGGCAAAATTACCAGTTATATTCTGCTCAAAAATATCAATGGTATTATTTTAGCATTGAAAAACTAAGAGGTATTAATTACACCACGGGCAAAATTTAAGGGGTTTTCATGAATATTTTAGAGCAGTGCAGGCCAAAACGTGCACATTGTGCAGCTTTGCATCCGTGTTTTTTGTTCAGATATTTAGAAAAAGAGATTTCTCTATGTCTAAATAAACTTTTTCTCAAGTCTTTCTTCTCAATTACAAAACAAATAAGTACATATCTATGTATGTATGAAAGTTCTACGAATTAAAATTATTTAAGCGCTACTAGGGATGGCAAAAAAAAATCGATTAATTAATCATATCGTTAATCACAAGCAAAAAAAAAATTAATTGCAATTATTGAGTAATAATCGATTAATCGATTTTCGAAAGGCATTTTTTGCATTTCCCGTAAAGAATTTCTAATTCTCTTATTAATTAGCCTTAAATAAAATAAAACGAGTGTTTTTAGCGCCGATAATTATTTATTATTTAACCATTTTTGCAAAAACAAAAGTTTTGATAAGCATTTTGTGGTTAAGCGGTTGCATTTATTGGTGGCTGTAGCACCAGCTTTTGAAAAACGGCACTCAGCAGGCACCGAAGTACCAACTAAATGACAGTATTTTTTTCCGTGAAGTTTTGGGTAAATAGTTTTCATTTCCTCAAGGTTGACAAATTTGCCTACACACAGCTTATATACAACCAACTTCTAATATTTGGCCAACTGAGTCGCCAATAAATCAATGAGTGTGTAGGGCCCTTAACGTTGCCACACTTAGTTTTATAGCCTTTATAATGCACAACTATTTACACCATTCTATGCTCTGAACTTGAGCAATTCTTGCGGCTGTTTGAAATTTTAGACTGCTACAGTATTCATATTGAAAATATTTGTACGATTATTTTACAATTAATCGATTAATGAGACACTAAACTACGATACAATTCAATCGTAAATCGGGTAAAAATAATCGATTAATTTAACCAAACGATTAATCGCTGCCATCCCTAAGCGCTACTCTCTAAAAGCTCACTGAAAGATGTGTATATATATTCGTTCAAAGCTTTTTGAGTGCTAGTACACTCAGATTTTTATTTTATTTTTTTTTCTAGTTTTTTTTTTAAGAAAATTTCGTACTGGGCTGTTTGTATAAATGAGTAATCATTATAAATTCGCATGAGAAACGTACTAGCAATCGCTTAGCTTTCGCGGTATACATATAAACCGGCAATGCAATGATGGTCAGTCTATCAGCTTTCGTCAACCATTGACTTCTGGATACGAGTAGAAAATTATAAAAAGAAATATCAGAATTTCCTTTGTTCGACTGCATTATGCGATAAAAATTAATACATACCATATATATATATATGTATTTTTATTTCTCCCGAATTATATTCGAATTCGTTTATTTCTAACTAAAAGTTTGCATAAGAGGTATGAAAATTCTATTAACAATATAGTATATACATATGTACATGGCCTTTAACTTCGTACTATGATGTGATAGCTAAATACTATATACGTTCATACATACAGTGGGGAGCAGAAATGAGCACACGTTGATTTTTGTTAAATATTTGCAAAGTTTTTAACGTTAAAATTTTTTTTGTTATTTTTTCATAAAAATATGGTTCCAGGCTTTAACCAAAACCATATAAATCAAACTTTATACAGAGCTTAGAAAAATTTAACAAATTTTCATTAAAATTTCAACTTTTTAATCAGATTTTTTTTTGAGTATACAGTTCGGTAGCGCAATAATTTTTACTATAATAAAGTGCAAGTTTTACGGCATTTTGCAACTTTTTCCATTCAAGCATGAGTTTCTTATGACAGAAAATGCGCAAGACCGTTCGCAAAAAAAATCAACGCCGCTTTTCACAAACTGCACTTATTAAAAAAAACCGCAAAATCCGTTAGAAAAAAATCTTAAAAATCAACGCGATTTTGCAGCCGCTTTAAACTTGCACTTGAAAACATACTAAAATTTAATGGGCTACCAAACTGCATACTCAAAAAAATTTTAAATAGTCAGATTGAAATGTTGAAATTTTAATGAAAATTTGTTAAAGTTTGGTTAAAGCATGAACCATAAAAAACTTTGCAAATATTTAACAAAAGACATTATTTCTGCTCCCCACTGTATGTATGCATTTTGTTTTTTCAAACGATGCACTCGTATCATATCAGTATTTTGTTTCCTTTGTTCCCTGAATGCCTGTTTTTGTACTTTGTACAAGTATTTTATTCAAGTGCTATTGTACTCAGTGATATTGAAATTTGTACGTTATGTTTGGGTAAACTATTCGCATATATTTGGTAATTCGTCGAGTTTTGCCTGCAAAAAACTGGAACCGTTTTTAGTGCTAAATTGTTCTAGAAGGCATTACTATAGAAGGTCTAATTGCAATTTCACTGACTTTAGGTGCTCCGGATAATTCATAGTTGAGGTGAATTGCAAGGTCTAAAACAGAGGTTCCCAAACTTTTTTTCTCGTAGACCCCTTTAAAAAATTGACTGTTTTCGGTGGACCCCCTGCTGATGCATTTCTAAATATTCCCAAAGCTCGTAAAAAAATTAAATGTGAAAATTAGATCTAACAATGTAAATTTGCATCGCGGGTGAATTCAAAAACTAAACTCAGAGTGGCCAAAATAAAAGTAAAATATTTTCTTGCGTTCTGTTTATAAAAATAATGTGATTACACACTTGTAGGTTTTAAAAAATAGAGCTCGTAAATACATTAAAGTACTCTCTCGCTCGGAAGAGTTATATTTTTTAAGAGCACTGCGAGCGCTAGCGTTATTTACATTATCTTCACCATAAACTCATCAAATGTTCTGCTCACTCATGACTTTGCACGTGGAGTATATGTAAAATAGTTTATTTGTGTTAACGGCATCATTTTTATTTTTATCGCACCGAGTTTTAAAGTGAGGCGAAAAATATTTATGACATTTTTAAAACACCCAGTATTCACCCAGTTTCTGATGGTCGCTTCGATTGCCGAAGGTGGGAGTGCTAAAACTGGTTGCGGATCGAGGAATGCCTGGTCTGAGCCAACTGTGGTCAATGGGTCAGATGCCTCATTTCCGGGCACTTTCGAGTTACCCGGCACCAAGAGTAGAGCAAGCTCGTTCGTTATCTTTACCAACATAATTTCGTCGAGACTTTCATTGCTGAACTAGTTTGGAAGTACTTAGATAGAGGGCAGGCCAATGCCTTAAGTGCAGCTTGGCTCTACCTGTAGACACGTAAACTCCCACCCCTCCACCTTTTTTCCACCACGTAGTCTATGGCTTTGGGGGTGGCAAATACCCCAGCCTGTAAGACTGAAGCATATTCTCCAAGAGAAAAAGTGAAGCTTATCCCCAGTTTTGGAGCCATCGGTGATGAATTGTCAATGTACCAGTACGGGCTCAGTGCTGGAATTAAACCAGCATTCCCCCTAAGGGAACTCTCTCTCTCTAGAATCTCTTCAACAAAGGTAATGGTGGCTATCCTGTAGCATTGAAGACACAAGTGCTTAAATCTCTGCCGCCAGCAATTTTCGCCGCATCCCACTCGTTGCCATACCAGCATCCGGTTTTGTTTTAGTCTGCAGGTGGCCTTTAAGGCTTCCCACGTATGAAAACACAAAGTGATGGTAAGTGCAGCAGTGCGTCGAGAGCACTATGCACCACTCAAAAAAATTAAAGTTAAATAAAGAGGCTATCAAGCAACCATTTTGGTTCTTTACATCGAAACGAGATAAATTTTCGTGGACCCCTATTTACAACTCATGGACCCCCAAATTTTGTTCACGTCACCGTGGACCCCCGTCGAGTTTTCCGTGGACCCCTGGGGGTCCGCCAGGACCACTTTGGGAATCACTGGTCTAAAATATATTTACAACAGTCATGCCCAACGTCGGCAGAACTCCATAAGCAAGTGCCCTGCGCTGGCAGAATTCCACATGCAAGTGCCCTGCGCTGGGCATGACTGATTTACAATCTTTGAGCTTTTCATGATTACTAAATATTTCCTATAAACTAATCGGTAATGTATGTATATTAGGGCGGTCCAAAAGTGCATGTGAAAAAGTAAAGTCAAGTGTACCGGAAAATATCATATCCAAATTTTTTATTTTGAAATCAAAAAATAATTAGGGGTCGCTCAAAGCGCTCAAAGTTTTAAATGTATTTTTATATAATAGATTGGCGCTTACACATATGTTAGTGTTTGGCCGAGCTTCTCCTCCGATTTGTGGTGTGCGCCTTGATCTTGTCACACAAAGCGGAGGGACCTACAGTTTTACGCCGACTCCGAACGGCGATTGTATTTTTATGAGAAGCTGTTTTTCATGGCAGAAATACACTCGGAGGTTTGCCATTGCCTGCCGAGGGACGACCGCTGTTAAGAAAAAACCTTTTTTCTATATTTTTTGCGATGTTGATTTGACCAGGGCTTGAACCCAGGTGTTGATGAGTGAAAGCGCGCACCACTTACCACTACACCACAGCGGCAGTAGTATTTTAATATGGGAAAAAACACCTTTTCGTAGGAATGGTCACTGCATCGTCGTAAACTAATGACAAAACCTTTTACCGTTAGTTGATGAAATTGAATGAATAACGGATGCGTCCAGATACAAGTAACCGATCATTAAAGTACAAGGGGTATGAAGTGACTTATGCCACTTTCAAAAAAAAACGATGTACATATACAGACATGCATATATAGCCGGTACGTGCGCAATGCAATATTTTCTCAAAAAGCTTTATGAACACAGTTTGAATATCGCTTTGTGATAGTGACCATCACATGATATTCGTATGAAATTCTCAATTCATACTCAGAGTGATGTTCTTCGAATCATTGTTACGTTTAAATGCAATTTCATCAATGAATGTAACTTATTCTTTGTAAACGAATGCTGACGTACAATATCAATCCCGCACATAATCTTAAACCAGTGATGCGCAGATAGAGCTTTTACTCAATACGCGCATATACAAAATGTATGGAAAGTTTAAAAGAGCTTTTCCCGCGGGCAAGGCGGTGCCCATCAGTGGCTTAAACTAAATATGTATGTAAGTATGTGCCCAGCTTTTCAGGCGGTGCGGCTCTCGGTGTTCACAGAAAAAGTATAAAACTTATAGCTAAAAACATTGGTGTGGAGTTGTAACTTTAGAACACAGTTGACCACTTCATAGGCACTCGTACCAAAGCTTTACAGCTCTCTGTACAATTTACTCACGGCAGGCACAAATAAAAAATTGCCTCTGGCCAACTTTGCTTTAGAACATAATCAAAGGCGCATTTCAAGGCATCCGATTCACGATTCTCTAGAAGAGCATTTGACGATCATTGGCTTAATTTCATAAAACCAGAAATTGGAGAAACAATTTGTGTAAGCATTTTAGGCCGTGTCCTATAAGGCACGACTACGTTGGAAATGGTCGGTGAAGGCAAGTCGTTAGCCGTTGCCAACGCTCAAAGGCCTGTCAATCTCATGTAAAAACTTTCTCTCGAATACTCCAAGGGCTACCTCATCAGATTTTATCGAAGTTTTCTACTTTTCGAAATTATAACTGTTAATAGTTACGTGAGTGCCGAGGTGCGAATGCGATACCTGATTGTTTGATGACAAAAGAGACTTCGTATTGTCCTTGTTTACTAGCAGACACATTCGCTTTGCTTTCATATCCAACTTTTTACCGATGATATCGGCGTACACTATGTAGACATTGTACGCTCTGCAAGTTCGCCCTTCTCCAGACCGTCAGCTCCGGCAGTTTTATTAGTCTCGGAAATGATATTCAAGCCTCGTCATAGTCAGATTGTGGGACATCGACTGAGGGCTCGGGTTCATCTCATACCCTTTGTCTGCTCTCGCCTCAATCTCGCAGGGTGGATAAGTGTTCCGTCCACCCCACATCCGTGGATCCCAGATTTAAGTAATTCTTCAGCTTTCTTCGTGCTTCTAAAATTAGTTCTTTTTCCCATGGAAGTCACAAAGATACGGCCGAGTCAGTTCCGTCTATTACACATTACGCTCGGTAGGATCTCATCGGAAACATTCAGAGAGCTTATCTCACTATTAGCGACGTTACTCTGCGGTTTCATCCACCACACCACAAAACTTGCAGTCTATGTCTAATGAAAACCCCTTTTTATTCAAACGGTAGCTTAACTTAAAGTGATCCATTACAGCTTTCCTCCATTGTGAACTTCTAGGTCGTTCAAAAGAGTTTTACAACTGGCCCCATATGTGCCCTTCTCTGATGAAATTCTCCAGCACAGACTTCGATTGCGAAGAATTCCGCCTGGAATATGGTTGTGTATGCACCCATTGGCAGACTTTTCTGGAATCTTGGTCCAAGTACGCCTGCCCTAGCACCAAAGTCGTCCAACTTCGATCCGTTGTTATACCATGCTTGGTCTCCTTTTTCAATCATAGATATCGCTCCACAGCAGTCCGTTTCAGGAATTTTGACCTTGTTGGGCTGGTTGGAGGATAATTTCGGTAGCAAGCTGTCTGTGAGCTTGATAGTGCCATGATCCAGTAATGTTATGTGAACCTCCAAGTAACCTTGAAGATGCCCACTTTTAATGCGGATTACATTAGGCGCTCCAACAGCTTCCCAGTCGGCAAACACCTTTGAACAAGACTTTTAAATAAGCTCTTTCAGGCAAGACTCTAGAAACTGTATTTGAAGATCATCCAATAACCCTGCTATTTGAAGGTAGTCGAGAAGCTGCGTATCTGGAGAGGGCTCCTAACAGTCCTTTTTTGAAGTGAAACTTCTTTACGTTCGGTTGGGATTAAATGCAGATATCGATGTAAAGAAGAAATGATAGCAGAAGGGAGGGGATGACAGGGGTGGCTGGGCTCAATTAAGATTACGGCTAATAAATATTAAGATTAAGATTAAGTTTAAGATGAAGATGATGATGAATCTTAAGGTTAAGATTAATATAAATATTAAGAGTCTTAATTTAAGACTAAGATAAAGATTAAGATTATGATTAAGATTAAGATTAAGATTTCGATTGAGACTCAAATTGGGATTAAGATTATCTTAAAAAAAATAAAGATAAAGACAAACGTACAGATAAAGGCAAAGATAACGATAAAGAAAAAGATTGAGATAAAGATTAGGATTTGTGTGCATTGTCATGCAAAAAAATACTCATATAATATGGTGATCTATACGGATATAATAAGAAGTTTCGTTTCGGTCGCGCGTGGTATCAAACACATTTTTTTTCAAATTGGAAAAACTTCTATAATTTACACATATACCTACATTAGGGTAGTCCAAAAAGAGTAAAGTCAGAATTTTAATGCTCTCACCCCCTAGGATTGTTGTCGAAATAAATATACAAATACGTATGTATATATGAAATAAAAAAATATCTAGAGGTCGCTCAAAGCACTCAAAGTTTTCTATGTATTTAATATGGGTAAAAAACAACTTTCCATAGAAATGGTATGGAATTCTTGAAAATCAATATTTTTCGATCGGAAAACTCTGGGTCTCTTCAGGAGATTTCCAATAATAATACCCAGTTGTTTATTTAACAATTTTTTAATATTGCATTTTTTGGGGTTTTTGACGGATCTACACGCTATAGTTACTATGAGGAAATGGTTAAATAAACAATTGGGTATTATTATAGGGAATCTCAAGCAGAGAATCAGAGTTTTCTGATCGAAAAATATTGATTTTTGAGAATTGTATACAATTTCTATATATAAAATACATGGAAAACATTGAGCGCTTTCAGCGACCTCTAAATATTTTTTGATTCCAATATAAAAATTAGGGGTATATTTTTTACGACATGGAACAATCCTAGGGGGAGCGAGCATTACAATTTCGACTATACTTTTTCTCATGCATTTTTGGACCACCCTAACCGACATAGTAATATGTATGTATTTTTTCTTTTAATTTCAGACACATTAAAATGTTTGCTAATCCAGATGATCTTGGAGGTTTGGAGATGCTCTTTAAAATATATGAGCCAACAATCCAAAACAAGTCCGATGTTGCTATACTTTTCACACATTTTACATTATGTATCCAATGCAGAATGAACTGCATCGGTTTGGGTGAAGAGGTACATATGTACATACATATTATTTTTTATTAAATAATTATGGAGCTTTGCTTGCATATACATATGTAAATATTTTCAAAACTTCGATTAAAAAAATCTTGCTTGGCCTTACAGAATCAACCACCACCCGAGCACAGTGAAGAACATTGCGCGTTATTGCCAGATGGTTGGAATGAGAAGACAAAAACATATGCACTGCGGTATTCGCTACAGGACACGATTTATATTTTGGCTGCCAAAGAATTCGAAAAACGTTTAATTATCAATTTGACAGAGTCAACAAGTAAACGCAGCTCTTCGATTTCATTAGATATTGACGAACAAATCTGTGGAGTGGAGTACAACCGAAACAAATTGAAAACATTAATACCTAAGGCTGAATTGCTAGCTGAAAGATTGCAGAAGCAACTAATTAAACCAGTGAGTATTTTGGTAATAGTTTGAATTATAAATCTATAATTTTATTTACCTTAATCTTTGAAGCTATTAGAGCCGAATACAGAGACACGAGGTACTAGAGAATTTGGCAGGCATGTTGATGAAGATATTCCAACATTATATCAAACTAATCTTCCAAGGTACGAAAGCTATAGGAAAAGTGCAGTGAAGCGCTGAATTAAGCGACATGTTTTCTTAAAAATTTATAGTTTTGTTAACGTTTTCTTTGATTTCTTGAAACTATTCCAGTATACGCAATAATTTGGCACCGACTCCATATTTTGGTCTAACTGACGTTGGACGCCGTGATTTAGATCCGCTTGCAAGAAGTGATTTTAGCGGCAATTTATTTACAACCGACTTTCGTGACCCACGAGGGATGAGACCACGCATTTATCCGACCACTCCGTTTTCAAATAATCGTGGCACAAATCCAAGTTTTAGTCATTTACAACCACCAGGTTGGGGCAATAATGATTTTTTGTAATAAAATTCTATTATTTATGAAAACTATGTAATTAATACCAAAGTATTACATACATACATGTATGCATGTATATGGATTATTGCTAAATAAGGTTTTACAATTGAGTCGTTAAACATATCCAACCTGCTTAGGTCCACCATAAGACAATTTTGGGAAATTGTGGTTATTTCTTTTCTTGTTGTCTATTTCAAGTAGCTTTTGCAAAACTGTGTCAATGTTTACAAAATTGATCTTGAAAGCAATTTGTGTAGAAAATATTCTTTAAAATTAAACCATATTAAAAATAAGGAAGTCTTAGGCAGTTTTGACTCCTAAGTGGAGCGGTTATTGGGGGGGAATAACCTAGCGTTATGAGGACTTAGTTCCCGCCAATTAAATACAAATTGGATTGAAAGCACTTTTAAAATAAAATTTTTGATAAAAATTAATATATTTGAAAATGGGAATTTATCCAATTAAATGAATTGCAACAACTCTAGAAAATTGATGAAACATAAAAGAAAATTAGAAGTTGTACGAGGTCCTGACCATGTGATAATTTGGACTGTAACTTACTAATAAATGGCTATAAATTAATTTTAAATAAATATATTAATCGAAACATAACATATTTGGAGGAATAATCTGGCGTTTGCAGGTATGTAGTTTCCCTGCCATTTAATTTAAAACAAAAAATTGTCACCATTGAATAAGTTGGTATTATTAGATACATTTTTTTTTATCAACATTAATTAGTCACATTGCTTTAGAGGAAACTCGGTCAGTGTGTATTGCACCAAAAATATTGAAAATTTGCATCTGTAGACTGAGGCAGCTTTGATATGTACCGACTGAATTACATCCTTATATACCCCGTTTACGTTATGCCAGTAACAAGCAAGTCCTGTGAGCCGAGCAAGCGCTGGATGTCGTTTCAATCTACTGTCTACACTATTCCAGTGAAATGAAAAATACAGTGGTAATGAACTGAAGAAAAATAACTTAAAACTAGGCAGACTCGTGCGCATTTGCGCAATAAAACAAAACTGTCATCTTTTAACTTTGTTTCTGCCACTAGTTACGCATACCTTGTACTGCACGCTCAAAATCTTTTTCTCTTTGCTGTCTTATCTTTTCTCGTTTAGCAGCTTGACGTCTTTTTCGCTCACTTATAGGATTCAAAGGTCTTTTTCTAGGCATTATTTATCAATTTATATATCCTAGTAATAAAAATGTGTTTGCATGCAATTTAAAAATAAGAATTTTATAGCACACGAAATTAAATGAACTCCAACAAAAATTAATACACAAAGGTTTGCACATTTCCGTATCAACAGAAATCAGCTGCTCGTTTGCGTTTGCGCTGCCATCTAGCGAAAAAAGTGAAAATTAATAATAGCAAATAACATTCACAATAGTGTCATAGTACACTTTTCGTTTTACATTTTGTTTTAATTAAAGTATGATGGCTCGCTCATTAATATTATGATTGTCCAAGAGCGCTGATCGCTAGCTTTAAAACAATAGCTTATTTATTGATTTTGGTTCCTTATGAGACCAGAAAAAGGGATATTTACAAAAAAAAAAAAAAACACCTTTAGGAAACAATCCAAAATACTTTTTTTTTTTTAAGATTCTTGTTATGCATATGGATAAGGAATCAAAAAAGATTAAATCCTAAATCGTGTAATTAGTTACAATTGTTGTAATTTTTTTGACCTTTGTAATTCTTACTTTTTTAATTAATTCAATTGCTACTTTTTTAAATATTGCATATAACGGGTGATTTTTTAAGAGCTTGATACCTTTTTTTTAAAAAAAAACGCATAAAATTTGCAAAATCTCATCGGTTCTTTATTTGAAACGTTAGATTGGTCCATGACATTTACTTTTTGAAGATAATTTCATTTAAATGTTGACCGCGGCTGCGTCTTAGGTGGTCCATTCGGAAAGTCCAATTTTGGGCAACTTTTTCGAGCATTTCGGCCGGAATAGCCCGAATTTCTTCGGAAATGTTGTCTTCCAAAGCTGGAATAGTTGCTGGCTTATTTCTGTAGACTTTAGACTTGACGTAGCCCCACAAAAAATAGTCTAAAGGCGTCAAATCGCATGATCTTGGTGGCCAACTTACCGGTCCATTTCTTGAGATGAATTGTTCTCCGAAGTTTTCCCTCAAAATGGCCATAGAATCGCGAGCTGTGTGGCATGTAGCGCCATCTTGTTGAAACCACATGTCAACCAAGTTCAGTTCTTCCATTTTTGGCAACAAAAAGTTTGTTAGCATCGAACGATAGCGATCGCCATTCACCGTAACGTTGCGTCCAACAGCATCTTTGAAAAAAATACGGTCCAATGATTCCACCAGCGTACAAACCACACCAAACAGTGCATTTTTCGGGATGCATGGGCAGTTCTTGAACGGCTTCTGGTTGCTCTTCACTCCAAATGCGGCAATTTTGCTTATTTACGAAGCCATTCAACCAGAAATGAGCCTCATCGCTGAACAAAATTTGTCGAATTTGTTGTGTTCGAACCGAACACTGATTTTGGTAATAAAATTCAATGATTTGCAAGCGTTGCTCGTTAGTAAGTCTATTCATGATGAAATGTCAAAGCATACTGAGCATCTTTCTCTTTGACACCATGTCTGAAATCCCACGTGATCTGTCAAATACTAATGCATGAAAATCCTAACCTCAAAAAAATCACCCGTTACCTATACCAGAGAACGTATATACTCATATACGTTCTCTGGCAATATTGTGTAATCTCTACATTCTCCAATCTGCAATTAACGATCTGGCAGGGTAGGCACAAAGAAACGTTCTAGGGGTTAACATCTCCAAAACCGAACTTGTCCTATTCACCAAGTGATATAAGGTAGACAAATTTCGAACTCCGTCTCTCAGTGGAGCAAATCTTAAATTGTCAAAAGAAGCAAAGTTCTTGGGGGTTATTCTCGACTCCAAACGATCTTAGAAAAGGAACACCGAAGAGCTTAATGCGCTCTACTCCTGTAAAGCTACGATTGGGATAGACTAGAGGCTACGATCGCATATAATACACTGGATTTATAAAGCGGTAGTTAGACCTCCTCTCACCTATGGCACGCTGGTATGGTGTGAGGCGGTCGACGCCGAATCCTATGTACTCGACCTGCAAAAGGTGCAACGACAAGCATGCCTATGCACAACGAGGTGCTTTGCTCAATGCCCCAGGACCCATAGACCTGCATGTTAAAAGTGCCGTGGCTTCTATCCGACTTTAGGCGTCTAACATGCTGCGAACGACTTGAAAGTTTCACGCCACCATCTTCGATAGAGTGGGTGGAGTACAGAAGCTGTGATTATCAGGTCACGGAAACTGACATCGATCGGAGCTTCGATATCCATTTTCACAAAAGAAATGACTTTCACAGATGGCTCACAAATGGACATAGGAACCGGATCTGGCGTCTTCTCTCAGCAGTTTTTTCAGGCTGAGATGTATGCAATCGACATGGCGACAAAACTAGTGAGCACGTTCCACCTATATATATAGCTCCATATAAATTTGCCTTCATTTTTGACAGTCAAGCTGCCATCAAAGCCTTAGGGTCGCCAACGACTAACTTGATATGGGACATATAGGAATACCGAAGATCCCTATATTTACTGGGCCTCAGGACATAGTGGTATCCCGGGTAATGAGGAAGCGGAAGGATGTGCTACAAAGGGATCTGATATAGGACTTGGGGAAACAATCCAGATTGTAAAACCTCCCCCTGCGATTTCTATCTTCAGAAGTTAGGAGAGTAACCAGGGCAGCAACCAAAAATAGATCCCACAATAAACAATCCAAACATTAGGCCGCCAAGTTCGGAGTCCCGTATAACGATTTCTGCAGAAGCTGCATAGATGAGGAGGAGATAGAATCTGTCTAGCACTTCGTGTTGGGGATCACTACTTCGAGAGCCTTGATATGTATCTTAGGAAATGCTCCACTGGAAGGACTGCTAGGATTCGCTAGAGAATCAGAATGGTTCAAAGACATACATATATAAATAGGCATAGGAACAACGCCTGGGCATCGCATTGGGCCTTTGCGGTAGCCGAATGAACTCTTACGCGAAATTTTTGGCTTTGGGAATTTTCAATTGAATAAAAATGCAAATTTCTTTATACTAAATATATTTTATTCTGTATTATGTTTACATTGTTTCAAATAAAATGTGTGTAACATACAAAAACGTATACAACTTAAATATGTAAGTACTTGAAATGTTTACAGGAAGGTATACTACATTTGTGTATAAATTTGATAATACACTACACACAAAAAGAACTTGTAGATAATAATTTGAGCATTCAAAGAATTTACTTATTATGCATATGCGTATTATATTTAAAATAAAGTGACCAAAAAAAAAAAATAAACAATCGTGTTTTTTTACTTTATTCATAAAGTCATGCGTATTATATACTGACATAAATATATACAACATGCATAAGTGTGTATACATATTTTTATTTTATGTATTCCGTTTCTAAAGTTTAATTTGTTCCATTACCACTGACATCATGATATGGAACTGTACTTATTCTAATTTAAAAAAAAAAAATATTTATAAACAATGCCAATTATAAGTACAAATGTGTGTATACATATATTTTTCATATAGTAGACTGATTATTTATTAAAATATTATTAAGCATTAAGCAGTTTGCACGCGGCATATTGCAGTAATAGTTGCAAGTTTTGATGATCTAATTTTAAGTAATACATATATACAAAGCCCATTATTTACTAACAAATCAGCTATTTTTGTGTTTGTATATGTTTGTATGTGTATGTATGTGTGTATATGCAATCGATTTAAAAAAGATACATAACTACATAGAAATACATACGTACATAAATATATGTATAATGCAGTAATTTTCATATTCTCAAATTTTTTTATTCATTAGAAAGAAAACTGCTTTTGATTTTAATACAAACTATGCACATACATACATGGTATGTACATTAGACTGTACCAGAAAAAAGATCGCCGTACACCTTCCAATCGTAAAGTGTTTTTGCAAGGCAATTTAGATTTCTTGTTTTTTTTTGCCGAACGTAAGGGTCGTCATTCTACATTTTTCGTCAAATCTCCGGCATTTGCAGTCGTACCACAATAGAAATAATCGGTCGAGAAGAGTTACAGAAACGAGCCACAGACCATAGTTCTTATAACCCTAACATGCCAGCCAAACGTTAAAAAATTGTAGTAGGTTTCACGGAGAAATATAAAAAGGCCAAAACCCTAGATTCGCAAAAAAAAATATTTTTCAAAATTGCCTTGCTTGTAAGGTGATAAGGTCCAATGCACATAGAACACATTTTATGTATAATAATATTCTTTCATATAATTATGTATGTATTTAGACATATAAATTTTTAAAAATTTGGCTTATGGCTGCCAAATAAGCTACATAGTATATGGGACCTATAATTAAAAGAAAAATTAAATTAATTTACAAAAACTTACCCTAAGTAGACCTTATTGACTACTGAATATAAACAATGGCGATTAGCTTATATACTTAAGTTGATTACTCTTCATTTAAGCTTAAAACAAAAAAATGAAACTATCAAACACATTTTAACGCAAGTTGGTCAGTTTTTCTATAAAAGACTTTCAAAACACTAACGCTGATTTCAAATTTCAATTTCAATTTCTGTTTAGTGGTATAGTGGTGAGAAATTAAAAAACTAAAGCAATGAGTAAACCTTAATGCATTGGTAACAACGGATTTAAAAGACACCTTTCTCAATAAGTTATCTGTTTACATAATTCATGGAAGTACCAAGGGGAGTCGGGATTTAATTAGCTATACATCAATGCCCGTAAAAGAAAATTCAGTTTCAGAACAGAACTGGTTTTGAAATCGCAATTTTATCATACATATGTATGTAACCTAATACGCTGCTCAGGTAGACAGCTAAATTAAGCAATTAAGAAGTTTTATTCAATGCTGTTAATTAAACTGAATTTATCAAACAAAAAAAAAAACTATTCTTTGGGACAGATTCGTCCTTTTATGGCAGACTACCGCTGGTCATTAAATGACACAAATTTTAATAACAAACTTTGGCGATAAAAATGCTATTAGATATGATAAGGTGTGTTTTGGCCGTTTATTGTAAATTATTAGTTGATTTCTGAGCCGTGGGTAAATAAAACAAACAAAACTAATTTTCTTATATACCTTCAATTTTATTTTTGTCGATATTTCGCCTTCAATCTGCAGACATAAAATAGAACGAATATACGACATTTATGTAGGCTTTACTTACCGCCGCCCTAGAGTTCAAAAATCAACTAGTAAAATACTTGTACGCTAAAAATAAAAGCCATTAAGTCTGTCCTCATATGCCATTTTGAAATGGAATAATTTGTTTTGTAATTTTTGTTATTCAGTGCCTAGTGGAAATTTGGCATTCGACTTGTTTCGCATTTAAGTAAATTTCAGAAAAGTAATTTTAATTGCAGGCTGTAACAAATGAGCCGAATACATGTTGCCATGAATGCCATTGGGCACTAAATTACAAAATTTTTAATAGAAAATTTGGGTATTAACTCATACAAGATAAAGTAAGTAAGTCGGAAGCATATTTCGTGTTGGTTCTCTTTCTTGTCGATGGAGCATATGTAGTTGAAATCAAATTAATAAGTAAACTCATATAATGTGTTTTCCAATGTAATTTTGAAATTGTTTTTTTCTGTCATTTTCGTTAATTCAGTGGAAGTGGCCAAGTGAAAATCTGGCATTAGGGTTGTTTTCCATCAAAAGAAGTGAAAAAAATCTGGCTCCAAACGCAGCATAGAAAAAATTTAGCAAATTTTTAATACAAATTAGACCTTAAATAAACTTTTAGAAGCAAAAATTTAAATTATGCATAAAAATATTTTAATGCCAAAATTAAAAACATTATAACTGCTAATTGGCTAAGCCAATTCTATTTGGCGTCATTATCAAAATCGAAAGCTTGATTTGTGTGTGCCTAAATTTAGGTGATTTAGTTGACTATTTGAGCATAGTATTAAATTTCCGAAAGGGTTTAAACCAGCCTGAGAAAAAAATGCGACTATGAAATCTTGTCAGCAAAGCTTTAAAGAAAAAGTTTTTCACATATCGCTGCAAATTTTCACGGCACTCTTCCTGAATGTTATGTTACAAATTTTGTTGAAAATTGTTGGTTAAAATGTATAAAAAATTACAAGAAGATGCGTACAACGAGTAGAACCGTGTAAATTAAGTGCGTAAGTATCTAAAATATTTGTAAATATCAAAATTATGATCAAGTCAAAGAATATTCTGTGTGTATTTTTAAAAGTGATATGTATGTTAGGGTGCCCCAACAAAAAAAAATCGCGGGATTTTCCGAAAAATTTTAAAATGTATTATATTTCAAGACTTCTGTCAAATTATTTTGGAAAAATATTAAGATTTACGTAAGCTGGATTGATTTGAAAAGTCGCACGAAAATCGAGTTTCTTAATAAAATTGGTTTTTAAAATTATTTATTCCAAAAAAACATTTATGATTATTGAATAGTTCTAGCATGAAAGGATTGCTCAAAAATATTACCGATGCACCCTAATACACATACAAAAATACATATAAAGTTTTCAAGGCCAATTTTTTAAAATACTTTTTTTTTCTTAGAGCTATGCAAATGTTTGAATGTACATATATTTTAAAAACATACATACATATGGTTTTTAAATACTTTACACTAAGCACTAAATTTTCTTTCGCTTATAATTAGTTAATAATGTTTGCATACATATAGCATAATCTAATACGAATATATATGTAGGTATCTATGTATGTATATAAACACTTATGCAATAAGAATATAGCGTTAACATATGTATACAGTTACATATTTATGCATACATATATTTGCATGTGTCGTTATTTCCGATCTCCTTCCCATCCACCACCATTCCATTTCCTCTTCAATCCCATTCCCCAATGTACATGGTGCGGGGTGTGGGCACATAGCCACGCGTTGGCAGTGGCAAGCGACCATAGATGTGATTATATGGTGATTCAACTAAATCGGCATCTGAAAGAGTGAATAAAAATTAATAAATACCAAGACTGGCATTTAACATAAAACAAGAATAGTGAGGAATGTGTAGGTGAAAGCATAGCAGTTATACAACGCTTTTATTTAAGGATATGTCTAACTACAATACAAATGTCCAGGTCCCGGTCCAGGTCCGCAAAACAATAACATTATTATTTTTTAAATAAAATTCGTAATACTTATTATTTTAATTTCATACGCCTGCTTAAAAGCAAATATTTTACGCGGTTAGGCTAAAAAAAAACTAATATTACTTATGTATACTTTATCTGAAACATATTTACAAGATTATATACAATACGTCAACGAATATGGGATTAAAGATCTTGTTCGGTTGAACTGACGGTTTTTGTGTTGTAATGATGCGAAGCTTTTTCCTTAAATTCTTATTTTTATTTTTTAGTTTATAGTAGTACATAAGTATATGTAAAGTGGATAAGACTACGTCTTCGAAAAGGCTACAAAACCAGAATTTTTAGCTGACAAAATACTCTTAAGTACATACGTGGGTTCGGTATCTGCACCGACGCCATTATCTGCTCGCAAAGGTTTTCCATACCCAAGATGTTTTTCCTTGAACAGATAAAGTCTTAACACTGGAAGGTCGGGTAGGACGAGCGGGGAGACCTTTGGTAGAGTAAGAGGTGAAGTATGTTATTTATTTAAAACTAGTTGCTATATAATGTTGCCCTCGAAGCTTTAGGGTCATGGAGCGATACATTTTATGATCGTTCAGAAAGAAGTGCATTTCGGACATTGCATGACTTTTTTTCGGTCAACACAACAGACCATCTGAACCGTTTTGTCTGGCATGTGGAACCGCCTCGACGGCTGGAGGAAAGGTTAAAGCCCTCAGAGCGAAAGCTATGTTCTACGGAAGCCGGTAGGACTAAACCCCCGAATCCAAGTCCTCTACGGACAAGCAGAGGACCACTCCTGCACGAAACGCTCCTTAAAAGGTTGTAGCAAAGGAAAATTACCTCAATCAGAACCCGTAGGCTCAAAAAACCTCGAGGGTAAGTTTTGCTCTACGTCAGACCGAAGGGCGCCCCTAAGGTCAACCAAAAACTAGGGATTATCCCACATAACCGACTGACGCAGGAACAAAAAACCTGTCTTAAGGGGACCATGGGAGTCTTTGCCGTCACCGACGAGCGACGCGTACGGAAATGAGGGAAAGACAAACCACCGACGGCTTCCACGAGACAACGATCTCTGGATTACACCTCGCGTGGTACTGGGATTCCTCACTCTCCTACCGTTAATCGATGGCCAACAGCACCGCGAAGACGTTCAGCGAGGATGCTTAAAGATGGCCACATCAGCACGGACAACAGAAATTCCGTTCTTATGGATCTATGCAAGGAGTGTAAAGCGAGTATAATGGAAGGACCGCTCTACATTTCGAGTACCGCTCTATCTTGGAGAGTATCCATGTCACTGTCTATCCCGCCCTAGCCAAGACGCGCAATTACACCTTCAACAAGTACTTTGTAGATTAGTTAGTCGGTCTGAGCTCAGCGAACATTCTCAGTTTTTAATGGAAGGAAGGAGACAAATGGCTTCCGCCAGTGGTACGACAACGCGCTTTTTCAGCTCATGTGCGTCTCTATGCTTTTGCATGGTAGCATACGCTGCAACCTCAAATAACTTAATCAACTAGATATTAAGTTTTTCGAGAAAATACTTTTCGAAACTTTCTCGGGATTTTTGATGTGCTGTACGGGATTTTTGCAGGACTCTTCGCGATTTATTTTAGGTAAATTATGGAATCTTTCTCAAAATAAAAAAATGTTTTTTTTTAATAAATATTCGGTGGGTTCGCGTATAAAAATTCCTGTCGAATGAAAAATTCGACACGTGTTTGCGCGAAGACTTATTCAAATGACCAAAACTGGTTTAAATTTATAAATTCAAAATCTACCAAAACCCAAAAAACAATACCATAACCCTAAATTAAATAAAGGTATAACATTGGTAGTCGAGAATGAAGTCAAACCTATTTGGAAATCTGTTATTTCTAGTTCACAGTTTATATTCGATTCTCGGTTGGCTGTTTGGTTGGTTGTACGCAGTCAGGTCGCAGTGCAGTGCCGTGCAGGTCGAAGTTGTCAAGATTTTCAAATTGTACAAGGGTACTGTTTATATTTCGATGTCCTTATAAATTTTATTTTCGGCTGCAGCGTAAAAATACATATGTACATGTATCTCATCTTCCATCATCAATAATCGAGTATTTGAATTTTTTTGAGACTTAAGCTGCGCGGCTTACGCGGTTTCAAATAGCCATAAATCGATTCCATATCACTAACGTCCAAACGACTAGTCGCACGGCTGAGACGACCTTGCTGTTGCGATCGTACCTGCGGTTGGTTTGTCGCTGCTCCATAGCCGCCTGCAGTGAGAGGCAGTGGAAGGAGCGAACTCGAGTTTTTTATTGCGGTGGTTGTTGCATTTGTGTTCTTTATCGCAGCATTGCTTCGCGCATTGCTGGTGTCGTTTGTAACGCGCTGCACTTTCACTGCATCCTTTGACATTTTCGACACCGCCTTCTCGCAATTATTCAAGTGTTGTTGGTGCTTTTGCTGTTGCTTTTGTTTTTGTAATTGTTTGAGCTCAACTTCGAGCTTTTGTTTCATTTGCGCCTGCTGACGTTTCTGAATTTGCGCTTTCATTTCGAAGGCCGCTTTGGTAGCTGCCACAATGCTGCCGCCGCTCGGTGGAGCGTCATTAGTTGTTGCCTTCGCTGCACTGGCAGCTGGCTGTGCAACTGGTGTTATTGTTGTCGTGCTGCCACTGCAATTACTGCTATTCTTACGACGCCAACGAGGTGGCGGCAGCGCTGGCTGTTCTAACAAAGCTGCTGTTTGTGACGTTGCACTGGCTGTTGTTTTTGTTGGAGGTTTTATGCCACTCTTTTCTGGCATTCCCAACCCCAGCTTGTGTCGCTGAAAGTAAAGCAGTTCTCTTTCTTGTAAATTTCGAAGGCGCGCCTTTTCATAGCCATCGTTGTCGTCGCTTGTATTGCGCGCGTGCCTCTCATTCACGGGTGTCAGTGGCGCTAGGCTGCTTTTGTTGCGCGCGCGTAATCGATCATAAAGATTTGTGGTAGATGGGGACTTAACGATACGCTTTCGACCACCATACATGTAGAGAGAACCCTCCTCGTTGGGTTGCTCGAAGAAACTTTCGATTGAAATCGATTTTTGACGCAGCAGCGCGGGGGAGTGTACAAATTCCTCTCTAAATCTACTGGCATTTATGCGATCGCCTGCGCTAAATTCATCAGCGGTGTTGTTCTCGGTGGGCGGCTGTGGCGGCGGTGGTGAACGCAGTTGCCGCAATCTCTGTGTGTGGCGGTCCAAATGTGGCGCGTCCCAGTCTGTATTGTCATGGTAGTGGCGTGCGGCGTATTGTCGCGTTTGCATAGCGTGCTCATTGTAACTTCTGATTTTAGTACTTGCGTGATTGTTGTTTGCATCCACCATCGGTTGCTCAGCTTTGCGCGCGCTGTAATGTGGCGTAAGCTCCACGCAATCGAAATCAAGCTCATTGGCGTAGCGCGGTGCGTAATCACTTTCAAGCTTATAAATACAGTCATTGTTGCGCGCGCTATACGCGTCATAAAAATCATCTGCTTCGCCGTCAGCCTCACCGAAGCCTTCGTCGTAAGTGTACGTATCGCTGGGTGCTAAATAGCGCTTGTGTCTCTGATTGAGCAAAGATATATCGCTTTCGCTGCACCATTTCACTAAATTCAAACCGCTCGCGTTGGCGCATCTACCAACTGCAGCGCTGTCACCGGCATTTTCCACAACATCGCTAGGCGTAGAACCAGTGTTTTTCTGTGATGAACGCATTTGCGTTGACTGCAAAGGCGGCGGTGGAGGCGGCGGCGGTATATCCGCTAAGCTGCCGCTTAGTTGCTGATGCAAACGCAACTGTTGCTGGCTGAGACTGCGCGGTGGCCGCGCTGGCTGAACAACGCCGAAAAGCGGCGCTAGCGTATAACAGCTAACGCAATTGCAGTTGCTGCCCACCGCACAGGTTGTGTCGCGTCGTGAGCGACTTGAGCGCAAGCGGTGCGGTGAGAGCGTTTGTTGCAATTCGCGGCTTATACGACGAAAGCGTGACCGACTGGGGCGCGCATGCGCGGTTAAGGGCGGCGGCGGCGGCGGCGGCGACTGAGCGTCAATGTAATCTAGGTCAGGGTCGGGATAGTCTGAGTCAGTGAGGTGAAATTTGGTTGGCGTGAGCGGCGCTGGAAGTGGCGCATAGCAGGCGTCCATATCAGTCGGCAGCTGTCGCCGCGCGCAATTGCGACTATGATGACGGTGATTGTGGTGGCTGGGATTGTGATGCTGTTCAGTGTGGCGCTGATGATGGTGATGATGGTGGCGTTGAAGCGCTTGCTGCTGTAAGGACTGCTGCTGTCGATGTCGTTGTTGTTGTTGTTGTTGTTGATGTTGCTGCTGCTCTACTTTAAATTGTAAGCTACTGTTATGGTTTTTATTTTTATTGTTGTTGTGCTTGTTAAGTATTTGTTCGTGTCCGTCCATGCCATGAGCTGAGTCTGCCGCCATGCGCACTGGCGCCGCGGCGGCAGACAGCAGCTGTGGCAGTGCATTGTGCAGTTGTTTCTGTTGTTGTTGTTGTTGTTGTTGTGCTTGTACTTGTACTTGTGACTGTGCATGTGCTTGTAGCGTTGATGACTGTGCTGGATGCAATTGGTTCTTGCTGTTGTTATTGTTGTTGTGATGGTCCATTAGAAAATTCGCATTGGCCGCGTTCAACTGCTGCTGACAACCACTATTACTACTACTATAAATACCTATGCCGCTCTCAAAGCTGCGCGTCTGAAACATCGGATGCTGTGGCAGATGATGCTGATGATGTGCGATCGTAGCCGCCGCTGGATGATGATGATGTACCGCATGTGCCGCAGCGGCGGCCATTAACTGCTGTTGCTGAATGTGATGAGGATGCATGTGTGGTGGTGGCGGTGGTGCCACGTGCATGGAATGTTGCAAATTTGGCGCCGTCATCGACATGTGTAGCATGGAATTCTTCTTTTGGCTGAGCGTGTTCATGTTGCTGCCATTGGAGTTGCCGTTAGTGTTGCTCATAGTGCCATTGGCAATGCTGCCGTTTGTGCCGTGCTCTTTATGTTCCTTAGAGGATTTTGATGATTTCACGAAGTTCGGTACGCGTGCACGTAAGCCGCAGTAGTAGGGATCATCTGAAATGAGAAAATTAAGTGAGCAATCACATATTTAGTCAATTATCCTATTCGAAATATTTGCTACGAAGCCAATGATCTCTGTGGACTAAAAGAAACATTACGAATAGAGACTATTTCAGTTAAGTATGCATTTCAAATATCGAGTGTTCTTCAATCACTTACCATACTTATTATTGTCTTTGCCTTTGTCTGATTTGCCACGAGACAATTTGATTCTGGTATCCACATCGATATCATCGTAATCAGGCTGAAAGAGGAAAATTTAATTGTATATCTTGAAAGTTTATGTAGTTATCGCAATGGAACTTAGAGCTACATTCATTATGATCTATTTAGGTATAAAATACTCTGCGTCATAAACAAGGCGGATTGCGGCAATTCTTTTAGTGTCGGGGTGAACCTGGAGACAAGGTGACGGAGTCTCCTTTCAACCACAACTCATAAACCAAATGTGTGGTCCAAAAAATTTCCATCAATACTTCGTTCACGCCTTTATGGCAACCAGTCATTGGATAGAGTCACTACCCGCGCTATAGTTTAAAGAATACAGGTGTATCGTAAATCGACGCCCTTCATCTGTTTTCGGGGGTAGTCAAAATTAAAAGAAAACAAAACACTTGTCGCTTCACACATAGAGATAAATAGACGTAGAGATAATTGGCGTATTGTGCCCTCAGAGGGAGGCAGAAAGTGTATGGGCTCTTATCTTGGACATAGATGATCCTTGCACTTGTCTCTACTCCGTGAAACGACCTCACACTCCAGGAGGTGGAATGACGTCTGTTATTCGAAAAAAAATAAAAATAAACAATAAAGTTGTGTCTGTGTTTAGCCAAACCCACCTACCGAGATGTATTTCGACCCAATGAATCTGTATCTGAGGTTCGTTTGACTCGTATACCTCATAAATTTCGAGTTAATTGCGAAAATTGTGAAAAAATGCCAATTTACTCGAATTTTGAGGGTGTACGAGTTAAACGGACCAAAGATTCGAATTTAGCGGGTTGAAATACATGTCGGTAGGTGGGTCTGGAACACACCACAATTTTTTTTGTGTGCCGGTGCTATTAATCCTACAAAAGCTATTATTGCTCCATTTACTCGAGGGACGAAATTATCTACGACAAAACTGACTTTGAGCGGCACAGATATAGAAGCTAAATATCTTGGGTAACTCTTGATAAAGTATTCAACTGGAATGCATATTTGGATGCTGTTATCAATAAGGCGATGAAGGCCTTCCTTGCCTATTCACGTCTTTTGGGTAAACTATGGGGCCTTACTTTCATTAAACACTGTCCTAAAGCCAATAGTAACCTATGCTTCTTTAGAATGGTGGACTAAGTCAGCACAAAGAACCGCAAGCACTAAACTAAGTAAATTTCTTAGAATGGTTTGCATTGGAATTATAGGAGCTATGAAGACCTGTTCGGCTGATACACTCACAGCCTTGGATCCGATCTGAAAATCGCGGGTCACATGAAGGTCCTTATGAAATCCGCGAATGGCCCCATATTGCAAATAGGATAGGTACCGGGACATGATGGCAATGAGGAGGCTGACCCTAGCGAAACAGGGAGCTAATTCAGTATTTTATGGTTCGGAACCCTTTTGTGGGCTCACAAAGCATACATAAAAGGGACCATAAACAACTGGGTAGAAAGAAATGTTCAACCGGCACTGGATGGAATGTCTAGGGCAGAGACAAGCCAAACGATTTATATCTCCTTCAAAAGAAGCTTGAAAGATACTATTGAATTTAGGCAGAGATGACTCCAAAAACTCTCTCCAGGTGCTACACGGAACACTGCTCCCTTCGCTATCACCTCAGTAAAATTAATTTCTCAGAAACAAATGCCTGTGCGCTGGGCGAATAAGCGCAGATGAGCACACTTGAGTGGTGCTACTGTTAATATATTTGCGGTCTTGAACAAAACGCCCTTGGCAGTACTAAGCTACATTAAAGGCCTTCCCATATAGGTCGCAGCGCCACGCACATTAGATCGCTTTAGATACCGCGGTGCAGCGCTATGGGAGGAATCGAACGTTGATTCTGTCGCGCGCACCTCTAGCCACCTGACCTTGCTTCGACTTGTCCTAACCCACTTAAGAGGTACTTCCTATTTTATCGCTCATCATATCAAAGCACTTGCAATCAAATTCATAGCGACTTAACCGGATTATATCAACGTTTTTCAAATTAAATCGAGCTTGGCGCCAAAAAAAAGAAGTTTGATTTATTTGGGATTTCGGCATAACGCTACTTAGCTATTAACTCTAATGTACGTTTAAAGAGAAGGTATGGATTTTTATTTTAACTACAAATACATATTTCATATTGCACAAAATGCAATTCGTTGCATTTCAACAAACCACTGAATCGCCTCAAGCGAAGAAGGGCACCACCGAGTCGATCAACTGCAAAGCAATAAAAAATATGAGCGCAGACCGCTTTGCAACGCCAATCCAATGTAATGCATATCAATGCAAAACTTGTTCTTCATATTCATACCAGTAAGTATGAAATGTAGTTTATGTACCTACATACATACCCACTAGGTACATAAATGTGTGCTTATAAATATAGTTAGTTGGAAGTATGTCAAAATAACTGCAATTGCCGTTTGATATCGCGTGTAATTAATATGCGAAGAATGTTGTATTTATTGCGCATGCGCGCGCACACACACAAACCAAGCAGCACAAGGCAACACAGTTAGTGCATTACAGCTACCAATTGTACGCCTTGTTGTTGTTGTTGTTGCTGCCGGTTCAAACTATGCCATGCCGCAGCCACTTCAGCTAAGAATAATAAATTGTAATCACAATCGAAATATGCTTCGCCCATTGACACACTCCAATTGGAATATCGGAGGCTAAGAGACAAGTTTGTCACTTTAGTTTGTTCCCATTGTAATTTTAAAAAGAAAAAAAAAAGAAAAAATTACTTTTTAGTTTGGTTATAAATACTGAAGCTTGTCGCGAAATTCATATGCAAGTATATACACATATTTTTTGTTTGCTTCAAATGGAGTGCCAAAAAAATTTGGTAGCAGGCAAAAAAAATTTGCTTTCTTTAAACGAACTGAATGGTCTTCAAACGATCAGATTTGGACATCTTAAATAACTCAAAAGTACTGATGTTTTACATGCATTGGGTGACTCTCTTGACAGCGCAAGTATTCAGAAAGTATTTGGAAGAATTAAAATTTTTAAAAATTTTTGAAGTGAATGGAGACTGCACACGGAAATCGTATTTTCCTCTACATTAGAACGAAAAGGGTACAGGTAGGGATAAAGAATGAAAAATGATAAAATATAACCGTAAGCTTATAAGAAAAATATATTTTCAATAACATCTCAGAAATGTCATAATTTTGCAGCACTCTTTTCTCCTTTTCATGAACTGTGTACTACTGAAGAGCTACGCAGAACTATTTTTACTTTTTTCAAACATTTAACTTTTTCTACTTAAAAAAAGTTTTAGGCTAAATTTTGCGGGACTTTTTTTTTACTTACTTATACATTTTCTACTCTTTTGAAAACATTTTTTTTTGCGTAATTTAGCAGAATTTTTTTTCTTTCCAGGAACTCTAGAACTGTTCAAAAGCTACCCAGAATAATTTTTATTTTAATTTTTTTCAAAAATTTTTTTGACTTGTTTGAAAAAAATTATTTTAGGCGTTCTTTTTCAAAGCTTTTTTTTCCTTTTTTTTCTAGAAAAAATACTTGGAGCCATTTTCATTTTTTTCAAACATTCAACTTTTTCGACTTTTTTGAAAAATTTTTTTTTGCGTGTAAATTTGCAGAGCTTTTTTTCTTTTTGTAAACTCTAGAACAGTTGTAAAGCTACCCACAATAGTTTTTAATTAAAATTTTTTCAAACATTAAACTTTTTAGATTTTTTTTGAAAATACATTTTTTGGGCGTAATTTAACAGATTTTTTTTTTGTATTTGTTTTTTAATATCAAATAAACAAATATAAATAAAATAAATATTCAAGTTTTTCGAAAAAAAAAATTCAGGCGTAAATTTGCAGAGCTTTCTTCTTTTCAGGAACTCTAGAACCTTTTAAAAGCTAACAGAAGAGTTTATGTATATTATTATTAAAACAAAAATATTTTAAGCGTAATTTTACAGATATTTTGTACTTTGGAACTCAAGAACTATTGAAATGCTGCTCCGAAAAGTTTTTTATTTGCCTTTTGCGACATGTCGTATGCTGCATGAATTTGGCAAAAACATAAAAAATATGTTTTTTTTTAAATATTTTTTTTTGTCATTTTGTATGCCAACTTCACAGGCATTCCCTATGCCAACACTCACCTTCGGTATGATGTCATGTGCGTAGATATTGTCGCGTGGCGGCAATTTCGGCGGCTTTTCGCTCCGCTTATGTGCCAATTGTTGTGTCTGCAACAACAACTGTTCACGTGTGGCTGCCACATGACCGGCGACAGCTGCTCCACCATTGATGCCGACGCCACCATTCTCTCTATGCAAACCAATGCCCATGCCAGCTGCTGACTGTTGTTGTTGTTGCTGCTGCTGATGATGGCCCGAACTGCTGCCAGCACCGAAACCAGAGCTGCCCGAACTGCCGCCACTACCATTGCCGGCCACACTGTAAGGATCTTCATCGGGTATGGGAATTCTTGGGCGATTCTTAATGTCCACAACTGGACGTTGCACTGTAGTGATAAAAGAAAAAAAAAAAAAAAACGATAAAATTTTAGCAAGCTGAAAAATGTAGAATTTCGTTATGTTAGATGCTGTTCGAAAACACACAAATCATTTATTGCTGCCAATTGTGCGCCGTAGATTTTGCTACCAAGAAATATGTAAATTTGCAGGCTATGCCGCAGCGCTGGCATGCTATTGGTTATTGCAGCTATTTTGCTGCTATCACATTGTTATTGTTTCATTACAATTGACTATGTATTTAGAATGCGTTGACATGCGTTCGATGCGTAGATGCACGGATACACTTACGCATACTTATGGATTTTTGATTTATGAGACAAATGCTTTGGGACAATAGTTTCGTGGTGCGTGTGGCATGCGGTTGGCGTGCATGCTGCATTCTGTGTATTTCTTTATTTGCCGCCCTTTATCTTGCTCGATACAGAAGCCAGAAGCTGACACTTTGACATTTTAAAAGCGAAATGAAAATGTTCGCTTGTTGGCATTTGAAATTTACCGCAAAAAATGTAGCTTTGCATTCTTATAAGCACACAGACTTTTTTACATAAACACATACATATGTATGTAAAGTAGGTGCATTAAAAGTTTATAGTTACAGAAGTGTGCTCGTAGCTGCGCGCAAAAGCGAAAGGCCAGCCTGCAGCCGCAACAGCATTGGTGCAACAAACGGCGCACCACAGCGCTTGAGAGCGGTAACAACCTTGAACTGCTTGTCTCGCAAATGGGGAGTGAAACGCAAGAAGTTACAAAAAAAAAAAATTAAGATATAAATGAAAAATAGAAATATCGCATACATGCATTCATATGCAGGTATGTGGGTATGTAAGCAGGTTTATTCGCTGCTACTCCGTCGCAATTCAAACAAAAATGAGATCTTCGTGCGGATGCATGAGATGTATGCATGCACTTTCAACCTCATGCAACTATAACAATTTAACTACAACGACATTAGCCAGCTATAGATATACTCACTACGACGATGAAGCGCAAGCGCAGCCAAACCTAATAAATTACTAACATTTTGCAGCACTTCACAAATGAATTGTTCAACGACGGGGGGTTTTTATTGCAATGACAATTGGCAGCTTTGTATCTATATCTATACATACATACATCAGGTTATGTCAGATATTCATTGGTATTTCTATTTAATAATTTAATTTGTAACTATTTTTATTATTCTTTCAATACACTTACCTGGTGGCAATTTGCTCTTCAACATATCCATGGCGACTACATTTACTATAAGCACCCAGATGGGACAATCTAGTATATCATTCTCCGATTTGACAAAGGCTACTACGGATAAGCATTGTGTTTCGAGGCGTCGACGATCGGGATAAGCGCGTCGCAGTTCACGATTTACATTTGATTGAAACTTTTTCATATCGAATAACTGGTGGGGAAGAAAAGGAAAAAATGTTGTAATGTTTATGACAATTATTTATCTTAAAATCCTACGTATCATCAAAAAATGTATGTATGAAAAAGTCTGTGAAAAATCTGAAATAAATACAACGCTTAGTTAACTAACTATATCCGAGTGTTTACCATACTGGGCCTATTTTTAGAATTTTATATATGAAAACCTTCTCAAACAAAAAACTCAAGTACATTTTTTTTTATAACCATGTAAACAGCTTAGCTTTCGGGTAAAATTTGCGATAACCCAGCGGAAAATTTGTAACTGCCCTGGTGTTACCCAGCAAGAAATCTGAAATTGCTTCTTGTGTGCGCGAATGAACATTCTGGTATAGTTTACGGCTATTTAAAGGCCATTTAAGGCGTAGTTATGTACAATTTGAGACTATTTCAGGACTATTTCGCCACAAGTTCGGGTTCTTTTCGGGGCAATTCAGCGCCATTTCGGGACTAGTTTGGAATCATTTTGGGACTAGCAAGGGCCAGTTTGAAGATTGGTTCAAGATCCCTTCGGAACAAGTTCACGCCTTTTTGATAACCACTTCAGGACTATTTCAGGACAATTTTGAGACTAGTTTGGGAAATAGTCCTAAATTATTGCCGAAGTGATTAAGAAAAATTCTTGTACTGGAAACATTAACCCTTAAAAAAACATTACTGTTTTAAGGCTTTCTTGAACAGCTTTTCTTTGATACAATATTTTCCGGACCGCATTTATATTTATTTATATACATTTATAGGGGAATATATTTTTGAATAGGTGGCAACTATCTATTAAAAAATATTACTGTTTTAAAGATTTTAAAACACTCTTCGGTGGATAAATATGTTAATTTTTAGCTGTGCTACCAAAATTTGCTTGTTTCATTAAAAAGGGTGGCAACCCTATTAATTAATTTTTTCTCAAAACACTTTCAACTCGTATCATTGTAGTTCATATTTAATATTTACATTTATTATATAATACGATCTACCAAATAGTTGGCAACTCTTAAAAATATTACCGTTTTTAAGCTTTCCTGAATACCATTGGTTTGTCGCAATTTTATATTGAGTTGAAATAAAGATCGTTTGGTTGATTTGTTTTCCAAAAGTTGCAATTCTATTAGTTTTTTCTCATTTCGCGTTCGTTTTATGTTATTTTCCGTTCCGTCATTACATTTACATTTATTCTAGGAAATGATTTTTTAAGAGGTGGAAGCTCTATTCAAAAATATTACCCATTAAACATTTCTCAGTCATCATTATTTGATAACAATATTTAGTATCTATTCGCAATCCGCAAAACAATACAATTAGTGAACATGATAAAGTTCCAATCAACCCCGTTACTAACCTAACCTTACAATTACCTTCCGGTGCAGTATAGGGCCACTGATGCCTTCTATAGATTCTTATCTTGAATCAAGACCAAGTGGCAGGAGTGTCACGCGGCATATTCTGTATATACTTCCTTTTTGGTGAAGAAGACGAACTTCGTCTTTTTCTTAGACCACTTAGTCAACAAGTTCAAGCAAAGAGAAATACGCCTCTTACCCAAGTGCCACGTTATCTCAGTAGGCAATCACCCGGAAGCCTTATCTATTGAGCTTCTCTAGCAGATCAGTTACGACGCGACCTCGGCGTGGGAAGGTTTGTGGATATATTTAGAACAGGGTTGCCACCTGTTAGAAAAGCCGAATTTAAATCAATTTCACACAAGTTATATGAAATACTAAAATATGGGTGTCAAACGGTGATCAGGACAAGGTTTAAAGCTATATTTTGAAGTCGGTTGCCATCTGTTCACTGACTTTACTATAGTTGGCGCATATAGGGTAACCGAGAAGGGGATGAGTTTTTTTCAAGAGGGGCATGACACCTTCCATAGATGTTTTACATTCAGAGAACCATAAATCGCACGACTCTGGAATGTGGTGAAGACATACCTGTGATAGTAGTTATGTAAGGAGGCATGGCACATCCAATATGAGTAAAATTTTTAAGCAGTAATTTCTTTACCCCGAAAAACGTCGGGTACTCTGCTAATTTAAGTTCAAAACAATGCAATACTTACTTTGACTATTTTTTCACTTTCCAATGCTTGATTTGGCAATTTGAGTATGTCTGCACCAATGGATGTCTCCTCGTTGGGGTTACTCGCTGTGCTCTTAATGTAGACATTACTTTTGGCATAGCGACGAACGAGTATATTACCAGCATCATCCATTTTAATTTTAACACCCTGAATATTTAGAAAATTGAAAAATGAAAATAAGAATGCATTTTATTATACGAATTTCGTTAGGTTAATTAAAAAGTATTAAGTTTGATATTTGTGTGAACTACATAATTCGTCTTTATCAATTTTTGTTTTTAAAAGGAAACGCTTTTTTTTTAATATGTATGTAATCTACATAATTGCCACCGCTGGCATAACATATCGCAACACCCCCATTAACACGAAATCCGCAGAGGACAGAAAACGCGAGTCCAACGACACGCACATACATACATATGTACCTTCCACACAGCTTCATATATAAGTGTTAGCCGATTAACGCTAGAGCGTGGTGCTATGCAGCCTCAAGCAATAGCTGCGGTTTTGTTTCTCGAATGTGAGCAACAATTTGGCAATAATTCTATGAACCTATGTACATACATATGGGCCATTCCAGCGAAGACGGCACCAAAGGTACAAAAAATTACATAGAGTGACAATGGTGACGCAGGCAGAATACTTCTTTAGAAATCGATTTTTGTCGATTTATTTTTCATCATTTTTCTTTACTTTTATTATTATAAACGCAGCCGTGCGCAGTGCGACTCTCTCTGATATAATAATTTTTGATCAAGCAGTCAAGGCCTTTCATGGACCCATGTTCAAATAAGGGCCTTTTCTCAAAAATATAATACATAAATATTCACATCAAGCCAGTAGTGCACATTTAACTCACTAACTGCAGTGACTCACACAAATGACCACGTCTTTATTTTTTTTAAATATTCGTAAAGTTTTTCGAGCTAACTTTTTTTATTACTTTTTTATAAAAATAACATCCATCCATCCATCCACTTTCATCAAAATTTCAACATTTTAATCTGGAACATTTTTGGCTATGCAGTCATAGGCCATAAAATTTTACTCCAATGAAGTGCAAGTTTCAAACCTCTAAAAAATACCGTTGATTTTTGAGAATTAGTTTTTGCACTTTTTTCAATATAATCGAGAATTTCTTATTAAATAAAGTGCGGGAGACAGTTGGCAACAACATTTCAAAAAATCAACATCCGTTTTTGTAAATTGCACTTGTTATACGAAAAACCGTAAAAGCAATCTCAAAAAAAAAAAATCTTAAAAATCAACGCGATTTTTCAGTCGGTTGAAACTTGCATCATTATACTAAAATTCTATGAGCTATAAAACGGCATACCCAAAAAATGTTGTAGAGATTCAGATTAAAAAGTTGATATTTTGATGAAAATTTGTTGAATTTTCCTAAATTTTGTATAAAGTTTCAAACTGGGATTTATATGGTTTTGGTTACAGTTTGAACAGTATTTTTATAGAAAAATAACAAAAAATTTAACCCGAAAAATATTACGAATATTTAAAAAAATCAAATCCTTGGAGTCACTGCATGTGTCCTTAATAGTGACCGGAACAAAATTTTTTTTTTTAATTTCAAAAATTTTTCTTAAATCAAAAAATGCACCAGTGAACGAAATATATGTAGCTTGTCCAAAGTTTTTTTTTAATTTTAAAAATTTTCTTTAAAACCAAATTAATGGTTAAAGTTTGAGCAAAGAAAAGTTAAAATGTCGTTACCTTGGAATGCCCCGAATTCTATTAATGCTCCCTACAAAATATTTTTCAGCATTCGTTTTGTAAACAAGCAGTGTTTTGTAAAAACATTACTGATATCGGTTTACTTTCAAATAAACGAAAAAAAATCTGTTTTATAATATTTTTTAGTGTTGTTCATTCAACTACTTTATCAGGTTAAGTGGCGATTTTGTGTTCTCGCATAACAATGGTTCAATAAATATTAAATTCAGCGAAGTGATTTTGTCTAATGGACATTACTTGTTCTCTAAATTGAACATTTGCAGCCAAATTTACTCACTTTATCGCACCTAAACCCAGTTTTTTTTTAATTCGTATTTATCTTTGCACTTCGTATGATTCACGCTTTTCTATTTTCAGGCGCTGTTACACCAAAGATATATTTAATGTTTATTTGCTAACCAGCCTCTGATTAATGTTCTTTTGTAGTAGCACAATTGCGCTCATTTATTCTTGCCAACCACTTTGACCCGGTGAATTTTTCTCAATCGCTGATTGGTTGCTGGTTTTTTTTTTTTGTAGTAATTCTTGGCTTATTCACTGTAATGAATAACAGTATTCGGAGGAATAAAATTAAAAAAAATATATATATATTCCGTTCATTTATCATTTTGGTACACAGATATTACATCGAACTGGCTTTGAGGGCTATTGCTTAGAAGAGTAATTTACTACCATTTATGTATTAGAAAAAAAAATAATAATAACAGATACATGATGTAATTATTTATTTAAAAGAAATTATACATGTAAGCCCACATTTGATATGAAAGTGTTGTTTATTTAATTTTATAAGAGATTCGGAACCACAAAATTATAATATTGCATTACCTTCATATATAGACTGGGTCGCACTCTATACGAAAAAAACGTTTTTGGTTACCCTAGTTACTTGAAAGGAATTTTGAAGTCATAAAAGCGAATTTTAGGCGATTCAATATCTAGGGGTTATCCTCGATCTCAAACTAACATGACAGATTTTTTAAACCAGATTTTTGCCTTCCCATCTACTCTTTTATATGCAGAATTAAATTTTTTAGCAATCTAACAGAAGACAATATTAAAAGTTCAAAAGGATAAAATCCCCAAACACTGATCATATAAATATGTACTAGGCATAATTTCTCTGAAAAATTCAACATTCTTGCGAGCTTCATATTATAAAGGAAAACAATGTTTCTAAGTCCCTAGTTCCTAGAGTATCTAGATGCATTTCTGCATCCAAAATAAAATTTTGATAAATTTCGCTTACGTAAAAAAAATCTAAACTTTTTCAGATATGAGTGTGTTAGATATACCGCTTAGCTGGGGATGAGTCGGATGATCTGCGGGTGGTTTTTTTTATCATTGTGTAGGAAAGCTGCACGTGATAATTGTAAAAGTACATAAATGTAACTAAATACCAACAGATCTTACACAAAAAAAAAACAAAATCTCTTCAATTGAAGCGAATTCTTCTGTCATCTTTGCGGCTTTTAGGACGAAGCCACTGAGCCACTGGGACCTGGCGTTATATGGCGTCTTCGAATAAAAAAAAAATTATGAGCAGCTTTTTCATGGCAGAAGTACACTGGGAGGGATGCCATTGCCAGAAAAAAAACGTTTCTTTTGAGGTTCGATTGGTACGTTCCTCTAACTAAGCTGCTACTGCGGCCGGAAATTGAAGACATGGATGATCTTTGGTTTCAGAAGGTCAATAGGCCACCTTGGAGCTGCGATTGGAAGTCTTTAGACTTTTTTGTAGGCTGTCGGAAAGGATTGAAGATTTAGGCCCTTGAGACGAAGCAAGCTATTAGTGAGATAGAGCTAGAAAACGCCACTAAGGTCTTGGAAAACTTTTTCTTATTGTTCATTTTTTTTAATTTTAAAAAGAACCCACTATATGGACCATCCTTTATAGTACTCGTATATGTATTTATGTGAGTAGTATACTAACAATTAAAAATTTTTACTCACCTGTCCTATATGCCGCTTATATTCATCGGTCTTCTGATCGCGCATTGGATTATCGAAACCACATAAGCCGATGCTGCAATTAAAAAAAAAAAAATAATAATAAATAAAAAATTAAAAAATTATGCAAATTTGAAAATTTGATAATAAGTAAAATAATGTTTTTTAACCATTGGCAGGTTAATTGATAAAATCTATAAATAAAATTTAATTTAGATTAAAGTGCATGCCCTCTTTTAGCTAATGCACGTATTTAATGTCCTATACTTTCGATTTGCTCTATTTCGCGGCTACTACAACACTATTTATTCGACTGTAGACTTGAGATGGGCGCGGGTCCCGTGGGTACTCCTATCTTTCACTAAATAAACTTCACAAGAATTTCCAATAAATTTTAAGTAATATACATTAATATCTTTTTTATCGAATAATCTACTTTCATTATACTTGAAGACTTGACTAATTTTGGCTATGGCTCTTTTGCTTGTTCTTCGTTTCCGTCTCTGAATTTTCTAAATTTAAAATTAGTACCGTGCGCCCGGGTATCCTGCGCGAATCCCTACTATAGACCCATTCTGTTGGCGCGCGCCCTCATTGAGCAGCGGCCTGTAATAATCCCGATTACACGTCCAAGCATTCATGCTCGAATGCTATGCTTTTCCATAAAGGTACAATAATTCAATAAATTACTCATACGCCGTGGTGACGTGCATGAACTACTTAACTTTTGACACACGAACTATGAGTTATTCGGCAGCTAAGTGTGTTGGCTGTCAAATGCGTCTAGGCTCAATTATCTGATACAAATACATACACACACACACACACGAAGTAGATATGCAAGTAAGTACGTGTATGAGCATGTCCCTTCACTATGACTCATAAAAATATAAGAGAAAAATGGCAATCCAAACAGCTCCAAAAATTGCCGTCACTTGTGGCTAATTGGTATATAATAAAGTGTGCATTGCAACAAATATTATACACAAATGCGTCAACCTGCAAATGCATGCATAGAGAAGCAGCGCGCAATGCTATAAGGTGTTACAGTTGCACCACGCCCTCAACAGCCAAACTACGCGCAACGTCAATTGCAATTAACAGAATTCATACATACGTACTATGTGCAATAAATTAGTTAAACGCGCCCACTGTACGAAAAGGAGAACGTGCCGTGCCACCTTCTCACACATTCATGAGTTGTTTTGGGCGGCGAGATTAATCTAATTGCACGTGCAAACCTTTGACTTGCATGAAAATAAGATAACACACATACCGGTGCATATAAGCTACCACATGTCACACATACATATATGGAGACTCATATGTCGCGCCATTTTTTTTAAGCAAATTTTCTAAAAAGTCACAAAGAAGTTGCGTTTCGCCGTCGTTGTTAGCCATTTTGTGTTGTTGACGACGCCACATTAATCATTCGCATGGCGTAAATTCGCGCGCAGCGGTTGAGCAGTCGGTGGCGGTGGCACTCAATCAATGCTTGTATGCAAATTTTGTGCAAAAAGTCAAGTCGCATGTGTCTTAGCTCAAAATGAAATTTGGCATTTTTGATTTTATTTAATTATTTTTTAACCATTTTGTACCATTTAGTACCGCAATGGACCGCATTCCAATTGGTTGCTTTGCGTAAAAGCCGCAATGTGTTGTAAAATGTTGCAACATAAGCGCTGTGTATGCCAAGTGGTAAATGCACAAGTGTTGTCGCACCATTCGAAATAGCTTTGGCTTGGCGTCGGAGGCAGCTGTATGCAATGCAGTTTTGCTCGCTTGTCGATGAAAATTTTGAAAGTTTCTTAAGTGGATTATTTTATTGTTTGATTGTTGATGGCTGTTTCATTTGCTGTTACGAGCATTGTTTATGTAATTGTTTGTCTGTTGTACATATGTGCGGTACAAAGTGCACTATTTGATCCATGAGTCATTGGTCATTGCTCTTGAGTCTATATAGAAGTTTGTGTTTTTATTTATTTTTTTAAATTCAATTCCAAGAAACAAGGATGCCAGTTTATGAAAACTGCAAATTCGACCTAAAATATGGAATAATTTGTTTGTAGACTCATGACAGCCACTGATTGGCCGCCGTGACTTTTCCGGAAACCAATTGGGGTTCTAAGACAGTTAAGAAGGTGAATGTGCGACTGAGTACGAGCCAATGGCGTATTTACGCATACACAATATAAGGACCGACTGTAAGCAATGGAGAAGTATCTTTCTTAATTGTGGATGTTAACGCAAGCTCATTGGAAGACCTAGTGATATACAGAATAGATGAACCGGAACCGGAGAACCGGATCCTTTATAAAACTGACCGGTCTGGTTCTTAAAAGAACCAAAAAACGTTTCTGAAACTCGATTCCAAAAGAACCGAAACTCGAGTCCAAAAGAACAGAAAAACGGTACCGGAAGAACCGAAACTCGATTCCAAAAGACCCGAAACACCGTTGCGGATGAACCGAGACTCGACTCTAAAAGACCCGAAAAACGGTTCCGGCAGAAACGAAACTCGATTGCCAGCGATGGTTCCATAAGAACTAGAAAATGGTCTCTGAATAACTGAAAAAATAAGTAAAAAGAACTGAGAACCATTCCAGAAAAACCGAAAAACCGATGCTACAGAACCGAAAATCTGCCATCACTGAAAAAATTTATTGTTTTGGCATAAAGTCTAAATATGAAGATATCAGCCAAAAATTCGGTTAAGATATGTACTATACGAGTTCTGAGTTGACCTACAAAATTTTGTTCTGTTCACTACTATTACTATATCATATAGCCGCTATATAACCGATCTGGCCGACCTAAACCAACTTCGTCGTTTTTGATGCCATCGACTTGAAATTCGGTTTGTGTATGTATTACAAAGTTCTGAGTTGACCTACCAAATTTTGTTCGGTATGAGGCATCATCTTATCTCACGTATATGTATGCGTTCGTACATCCTACTGGAATTTACAATAATTTTTATTTTTCGCGTTTAATCAATAAAGAAATTATTATTATTTAATTTTTATATTTTCGATCAAAAGCAATGACTTTTATAATTTTTATTTTTTCGCTCAAAAATAATAATTATTTTTGAGTTTTATTTTTTTCCTTTCAATCAAAAAACTCCAAAGCTATACCAGCGTGATTTCCGACGTATCCTTTTCACAGGTAGCTGCACTCTAATAAAATAATAAATGACGCATTTCAAATTGTATTAGTAATCATTATTTTTAATTGGAAAAATAAAAGTAAAAAATGATGATTATATTTGAGCGAAAAAATAAAAATCATTAAATAATTATTTCCGTTGAGTGAAAAGTAAAACTCAATTATAATGCTTTATTATTTTTAACTGAAAAAAATAAAAATCATAAAATACTGATTAAATGCTGATTTAAACTATTTTACTCATAATGATTACCGTCCCTGGTTTTAAATAAAGCACTGGCGCGGAAAACGCATAAATAAATTTAATTTCATGTATTTTATTTTTGTAAAATTTTTGTAACACAAATATCAACTAAAGAATGAATGTAATATATTTATTTACTTTATTTTTATTTTTAACAAAAATATAAAATGAAATTGATTTTTTTTTAATCCTCTGTTAAGCTATTTCGATAGGGCCTATTTCCGTTACCACTTTTTGAGAACCGGAAGCAGTGCAAATTCCCGGTTCTCCTTAGAAACGGACTCGAGAGAACCGGTTCTTTAAGTAGTCGAAACCGCACATCACTATTTCGAGCTAAATGCGGGTAACGCACTCATCTACAAACGGGGCGTATTCATTTCTGGGTGGTTTTATCTTTGTTAGGATGGATATCTCAGTGGTCGATAATACTAAAAAAAAATCTTGAATTTTTGATTAAAGAAAACAAAACCAAAATCATTCGAGCGGTTTTCGAGCGTTTTGCTAAAATACGCTAGAAGTTCATGTTCAAACATCCGTATCGACCGAACTTATTTAGACTTCCTGGCTTGCTTTGTTTTAAAATTGCTTCTCGTTAGTACATATTTTTGCACAAATTAGTTTTAAATTTCATTTACCAGTTCGTTTGATTTCGTATACCGTTTTTTGTGTTCTCTTCAGCAGCTTGTCCTTCTCCGCCTATGCAAATTTTGTTAATTAAGTGCTTACGTTTTTGTTTATTATTTTTTGGTTTTATTTTTCTTGATGGCACACATTTTTTTTATTTACCACTGGCAATGCCACTGCTGCGGCTATAAATACAGCTACTGTATATGTAATTTTAGCCAGCATTGCTGTGATTTTTGAGCTAACACTTTGTAATGGTACTCTAGTTGGTTTGTGCTCTTTCCCGCACTTCTTCATATCTGCCCTCTTCCCCATTGGTTCTTTAACAACAATTTAACTGTTTATATAAAAATGTTACTGTTGACTGCATTTGCATTTACATACTACTACATACATATTTACGTATGTACTAGTATCTTCCTGCCTACCGTTTGACGTTTGAATGCCGCTTGATTTATTTGCTAAATACAATTCTAGCGCGGCCACAGCGCGCGTCGTCACATTAATGAAACGTTGTTGCTGTGCTGCTGCTTCTTGTTAGTTGTAGATGATGTTAGCGTATAGCAGATTTTGATGATAGTCTTGCTGCCTTGATTGCATTGCCGTTGTTTTGTTCTAACTATTGGTACTGCTGCTGCTGCTGCTGCTGCTGCGGTTCTGCAATTTGGCTGGCAATTACCATTGCTGATCCGGGTAGCAAGTGGCGAGTGGCAAGTGGCAGTTGAAACATAGCAGAGGTGCGCTCGAAACTGTGTCAGTGTTGTTGTTAATTTAACTATGTAATATTGTTCTCCATTTATGTTTGATTTCCATTTTCAATGCTTTTCTTAAAGTTCTTGATTTTTAGCAGCATAATTTGGGGTTTAGCTGAAATTGTTTCGTAGTTTACTTGTCTTAAGAAAAAAATATATACGCTCACTCCATTATGGCTGCGTACACCCTTTTTTTAATATTCACAGCTATATTTTTTTTGTTAGTTTTGTACAAAGATATGATTCATGCTATAAATAAGGCTATATAAATCAAAGTTTCAAACTGTA